TTTAATCTAAAAACTAACTTATTTTGGTATCCTTGATTATTTTTTGACTTTGTCATGGTAGATATCAAGTTTTTCGCCTTCGATTTGATATGGAAATGATAGAAAATACTTATTTCTCTAAGTTTCTAATGAAACAGGCATTATAGTCAAAACCTCTCTGAGTCGACCTAATCTAAATTTTAACAAATTTAATAACCTAAATAAGGATTTGGGTTGTTTAAGTATCTTTTTAGTAACTTTTCTCATTTTCTCATATCAGAATTCCATTATTAATTACAAATATTTAAAAACTCTGGGTAAAAAATGCCTATGCGCAGCAGTGCAAGGTTATAACTACCCTGAGGATGGAATAGAACTCGAAATTTTTACAGTACTCAAAAGCCACAATTGTCCAACGTATTAGTGCATTCTTTTTTTTTTTTTTAATTCAGAGCGTATCAATGCATTCTGACAATACACTTCCTCCCATTAAAAATATAACTATCAATTAACTAAATTACATAAATCAAAAAATTAGTTAAAATTTGTTAAAAACAAATGTAAGGGAAAATTGCAATAAAAGACCTTTGAATTAGCAAAATGGCGAAATGGGTACTTGAATAAGTTTAATGGCAAAATGGGACCGGGTCTTAAATTGCAATTAGCAAATTATGCCCAAAAGACTAAAATACCCCTCTGTTATTGAAAACCATTTATGAAGGCGGACATAAAAAAATTCATGGCAGGAGCAAGAAGAGAAGGAAGGGACAACGTGTTTTGCAGCTTTTAAGCCTAGGAATCAAGTGATTAATATTTCTAACTACACTCTCGTTCTATTCTTCCATCTGAGACTGAGCAATATGATATTGTTCTTCAATTTTGTGAGTTCTATTATCAGTCACTGGGTGTTATACTTTAGGAAGTAGTGAGAGGTGAAGTTGATAATGGAAAATATTAGTTGGAAGAAGTTGTTGTTAGTTTAAGGTGCTGCTTTCAATTGAGAAATAAGTGGCATTATCCACTCAAGTAGGAATAGATTCTATCAAATGATGCACGGTGTGTTTTATCTGGCTTGGTTGAAAATCCTTTAGAGATTATTCGGGTGCCTTACTAAATGGCTGTAAACTTCAAGATTACTTAGAAATTGATCATATTGTAATGCAAAATCTAACAAAATTAAAGCCAAATAATAGTGGGTATCACATTCTCCTTGTATGCTGAAGCTATTTGGTACAAAAATTTGAAGTAAAATGAAGGAGTTGGGTATTTAGAAGAGATGTCTTGGGTCTAGCTGGGTTGAAATCAATAGGAAAAGTCATCATTGAATAGCTTTTTGTTATTTCATCAATGACAAGAATAAAAAATGATAAAAATCACTGAATTGTGAAAATTGTAAAAATTCTGTCATTTTAACACAGAAACTTAAATTTCTATGAATTGCTTATCAGAAGTTGTTATTCGCCTTACCAAACTTGTCATTTGCCTTACTGAACTTGTCATGAATTGCTTATCAAAACTTGTCATCTGCTAAATAAATATGAAAATTGTCATTTGAGCAAAGAAAATTAAATTTGTATGAATTGCTTATCAGAAGTTGTTAGTCACCAAGGAATTGTGGAAATTCTGTCATTTTAACACAAAAACTTAAATTTCTATGAATTGCTTATCAGAAATTGTCATTCGCCTTGTTAAACTTGTCATTCGCCTTACTATTCTTGTCATGAATTGCTTATTAGAACTTGTCATCTGCTAAATAAATATGAAAATTGTCATTTGGAAAGAGAAAATTAAATTTATATGAATTGCTTATTAGAAGTTTACATTCACCTTACTAAACTTGTCATTCACTAAGAAATTATGGAAATTCTATCATTTTAACACAGAAACTTAAATTCCTATGAATTGCTTATCAGAAGTTGTCATTCGTCTTATTAAACTTGTCATTTGCAACTTGTCATAAATTGCTTATCAGAATTTGTTGTGTGCTAAAGAAATATAAAAATTTTGTCATTTTAACACAGAAACTTAAATCTCTATGAATTGCTTATTAGAAGTTATTATTCGCCTTACTAAACTTGTCATTTGCCTTACTGAACTTGTCATGAATTACTGATCAGAACTTATCATCTGCTAAATAAATATGGAAATTGTCATTTGAACAAAGAAAATTAAATTTGTATGAATTACTTATTAGAAGTTGTCATTCACCAAGGAATTGTGGAAATTCTTTCATTTTAACATAGAAACTTAAATTTCTGTGAATTGCTTATCAGAAGTTGTCATTCGCCTTATTAAACTTGTCATTCGCCTTACTCAACTTATCATGAATTGCTTATCAGAAATTGTCATCTGCTAAAAAAATTTGAAAATTCTGTCATTTTAACACAGAAACTTAAATTCCTATGAATTGCTTATTAGAAGTTGTCATTCACAACTAAATTGTGAAAATAATGTCAATTTCTTCTAAAACTCAAGTTAATATGAATAGCTTTTCAATACTTGTTATTTCTCATACTAGACTTGTTATTTTTCATACTAGACTTGTCATTGACAGTGATTTAGTTGATGTATTTCTACTAGCTTATCTCTGTATTAGTAGTGATTCTAGTTCTTAGATATTCAATTACTTTTTCACCATGCATAATTACTTTATTTCTGCTCTATACAATAGTATTTTTTTTATTTGAGTTGTGATAAGCATGAAGTTGGTCTTTCAAGCCTGAGTGGAGCTTTTGTTCTATGAGTCATAGATGTATTATATTAGCATGATATGAGATTGTAGAATAAAGAGAGATTGTGAAGAATGAGAGCTTTTATATGAAAAGTACTATATTAGCATTACAATTTTTGTAGAAAATTAAATATGAAAGCTCCACGATTAATATGTTTTCATTTCTCCCACTGCAAATCAATGGGTTGGGAAAAACATGGAAGAAGGTTATAGTTCTGAAGCAAGTAGCCAAGCAATCTTCTGGATTGCATTAATGGTGGCTTAATAGGTTCATCGGTGGAGAAGAAGAAGGAAGTTGAAGGAGAGCAGAAGAAGGAAAGAGTAGGGGTGTGCATGAAGCTCAAATGCCAACCCCAGCCCGAAGAAAAATTGCCCAGCCCAGCCCAGCCCAGCCTAGCCCAGCCCAAAAAAAAAGAGCCCGAAAAAGAATGGGCAGCTTTGGGTTGGGCATTTCATAGGCAAGGCTAGGCATCGGGCAGGACATGCTGTCCTACCTAGATTATATATATATATTTTATAATCTATGAAATAATATTAATATATTATATTTCTTTACCCCAAAAAAAAAAGTTATCTCCCTCCTATTTACAATTGAATTTATTATCGTCACATGTCTACTAGTTTTCCATTTTAGGGGATCTAATTCTCCTAAAGAAGCAATAGTATCTTGCTTTTAACTTGTTCTTTGTGAGCTTTATTGGGTATATCCTATTGTGTGTTGCTGTTGTAACGTTGGCTATTTATAAGTCAGTCTTCCCTTCTATGCCATTAACAACTTTCTTTGTTAGAGAATGGAGTTCATACATTACATATTTGTATAAGTCAACAATTTTAAATATTTATACAAGATAGAAAACAAGATTGGGATAGGAGCAGGGAAAAAAATTGGGGTTTAATTATCTGAATTACATCGTTTATTTTTTATTTAATTTATATGTAGTTATTTTGTATTAATTTTTTATGAACAAGTCATATGGTGGAAAGAAGTCTTTTAGTTGTGTGGACTACTAGCTACATTGTATCGCATAATAAGTGTTTGCATATTAAAAGTGGTTATATTAAATTATTATAAGATTATAAGATTTTTTATTTTTCTTTTTACAATTATTTTCACCCTATTTTTATATGGTCTACATTATTCCTGTTAGCCCATTGCTTCAGTTTTAATATCCTTTTACAATCCTTTTGGTAACATTTAATTTTTGCCACTTGAATGGATAGTCAAGCTTCTATTACACTGCCATCCCCGACCCTCAATGGAATATCTTAATGTGCTTCAATCCCTCTTCAATTTTTTCTGATGTTTTATTCTTTTCTCAACTTTCTGGAGATTGATGCAAACTATTTGAATTTCAAGGCTTTAATTACAATCTTGAGAGTTGTTTTGTTCTAAATGGATTATGAATATTATTTATTTGGATATTTGCTAAGACTTATTTTGAATTATTTCTGGATAATTTCAATGTGTGAAAATGTAAACTTACGAAATGTAATTTTTAGGTATGACGAAAGTTTTTTTACATGTGATATCAGTAGGTTATCACCATTTGGATAGCGAAGCCCGTCCTGCCCAGCTCGCCTATGCCCAGCCCAAAATGATTAGGCTTCTATGGGGAGGGCTGCACAATAGGCTGCAAAATACAGCCTGCTCATACTTCAAGTTGGGCATCGAGCAGCAATCTTGACCTGCACAGCCATGTCCATGTGGAACCCTAAGAAAGAGAAGGAAAGAGAGAGTGAGAGAGAGAGAGGAAGTCAGAAGAGGAAAAAAGGAAGAAGGGCATTTTGGTCTTTTAAACTTGATAATTGCAATCTAAGACCTGATCTTTCCAGACAATTTTCTTTATTCAGGTGCCCCTTTTGCCATTTTGCTATTTCAAGAATCTTTTAATGCCATTTTCCCAAAACATATTTTATTTTTTAACATACGCCTATTTATAGAAGGGCAAGTGAGAAAGAGAATAAGAGGAAAAAGGACATATGAGAGAAACATATAATTAATTAGAGGTAAAAATAAAAAATATATATTACATGATTAGACAAATCCAAATTGTAGCTTATTAAAAAATAGCAACCCCCTTCAAATATTTAATGCTTATATTTTGAATCGGATGATCAATAAATTGTACATGATTACAGCGAGGTGAATCCACAAACTGTTAATTTTCCCACCTCACTCTCTCTCCAAATGCAAAAATGGGAAAGTTGAATTTACTTGCACACACATATCACTACTTCAAATTCCAAGTTTCACTCCTGCTTCAGGATCTCAAGAAAAACGCCCAAAATATTCCCAATACAATTTGATTACACAGTAGTGTGTAATTATTACAAACACGGTTCATTGCTTATCTCTTCAAAGAGGATTCACAATGAAATGAAGAAAAGAAAGTCCTCTCCCTCTGAAACTGCATGAGTGTTTTGTGCGTGTGTGTGTGTGAAACATTAAAGCAGTTTCAGAGAGAGGAAAGTTACCCTCGGTTTTGTTAATACTTAGGTGTCATTTAAACTCAAAGGCCATTCATGTAGTTCAGCGATAAACAATATTCTAACTCTTAGTAGCCAAACTTAATTTCAACAAGAAACTCTGATCACTCCTTTATATACCTCAATTTGTTTCCGCACCGATAAATGAATACACATAGTGCAAAGGGAAGCGTAGTAATTTACACAGAACATGAACTATCACAAGGAGAAAGGTTTTGTATACACATCAAACGGTTCGCAGGCGGTCAATTGGGGTTCCTGTTGAAGCAATAAAAGGGTGAGAAAATTAAAACATGTCATTGCAACTACTAAATTATCTTTCTGTACAAGGCATAAAAAAGCAGGAAGTTTAGATATGGTTTAGAAAATCCAGCAGTAAAGTGAAAACTTTGCACTTGGTTTATGGACCTAATTCAAATTAAACGAGTATTTTCACCTGTCTCAGGCCACCACCAGTGACACTGCCACCCGTCAAAAGCATCGATACAAGACTTGTCACCACATCACCCCCAATAGAACCACCATTATTGCCAACATTTCTGATTGCAGTGCGCATAGAATTGAGAACGCTACCATAGGTTGCTCCATGTCCACGCTCAATGGCTTGGATAAAGCAAAACGTCATGGCTCCAGTGGATGTAATCTTTGACAGTGCCTGTATGCAAATGTAAGTATTAGGATGATTATATTCTGAGGGATGAAAAATGTCTAGTTAGTAAGGATTATGAAAGATTCAACTCAAATATTTCTGAAACTTACAGATGTATCAGCAGAGGTTTGATGGTCATCACAACCACTAAATGATATAACTTCTCCACCATTGGATCCTTTCCACACACCTGACCTAGGGCGATGGTCCTCCCACACATACTGCCCACTCCTATTACCCATTATATGGAGAGACAAAACTTAGTGCCAGATAATTTTTTATATTCGTAAAATAAAGTACACTATATATTAGAGGGGGAATGCTTTTACTTGTGTTACATAAATTTATAATAGAGTGAAATTTGTCTAGCTTGAGATATAGCCGAGATCAAGATATCATAACCAATAAAAGGAGGGGGGGGGGACATAAGCTGATACTGTTGTAAAACCCTCCTTAAGTTGAAAGCATATACTTCCCCCCAGTCTTTATTATAAGGCACATTGCTTAAGAAATTAATTATCCTTATTATACATCACCAAGTGAGTTATTAATTACATCTTTTTCAAGATTGCCCGTATTTAAAACCTCATTAATTGCAACTTCTATGACTTCTTGGATGCAATTCAGGATATAGGTAAAGTGGAAGTTCTTTTTATTCTCAAACAAAGTTAATGGCTTAACCACCTCTCATTGGTTTTGAGGAGGCAGTTAGAGGTTCCTTATAATAAGGACCTAAGGGAGCATACCATATTGCAAAACTTGCAACAAAAGGAGGCCATATTATCCTTAAGATTAACAACAATGTTAAGAGCAGGAGAAAACAATAACACACTGGTATACTGCACAGCAAAACGCGCTATAAGAGTGAAACACAACTTGAAAAAAAATGGCAGCAATAACACAGCACGAAGAGCAGATGGAGTTGTAAACAGCTCAAGAAAAGTGCCACTAGAATAATTCACAGCAAGAAGAGAGCTGGAATGATGCACAGCCAAAGTAGCTGGAGCAGTGCTCCTGTGGTTGAAAGAATCACCAGGAAAATTGCAGGAAAAATGTATCAGCATTCAGCTAGAAAATGGCTTGCACAAGCATGGGAAAAGCAACAGATGACAGGCAGAGATTGTGGCCAAACGCCAACCAGAGATGGGCACCAGAGGTCCACTGGCGATGCGGGAAAGCCCTGGCCTCGAAAACTTTAAAGGGTATCTCCTCCCAAAGAGAATGATAGGAGGCATGTGAACATATTTATATTGAAATGAGGTGGTTCAGCTAGGGATATAATAGATGTGGGACTGATTTAGTGTAGCTAAATACCGAAGAAATTGAGAAAGATGAACAAATGTTATTCAAACAGACGTCTTTGTTCCCTTCTTCCAAACTGCTCTCCAGTTTGGAACTCCAATGAACTGGGAAGGAACAGAAAACCAGGAAAACAAGATTGATAAACAATAAAATGTCCTAATACCTGATCTGCTTAATAATTTGGGAAAAATTATTTGCGCAGTGAATATCAATATTAAAAACAAAGAAATGAATACAAAAGGCACATATTATCATCCTGTTAATGAATAGGCTATTAAGCACTTACATGCTGAATAATTTGAGACTTGGACCCAATTCCATTTGTCACACAAGAAACAAAGTGTCCATAATATTCTTAATGAAAATAAGAAAGAGAAAGTACTAACTCAAAGTTGAAGCAATTATCTATAATGCTATCAAAATGCCAAAGTCCAATACGCAATTTATTTATATAGAAAAATAAATTGTACATGAAGAGGAGATATTTCATAATATTAAAACTGTGAGAATAAGAAATTATAAAAAAAATATTATAACCTGTTCATTCGGCAAAGGAATGGCAAATCTAGAACAGTGCCACTATGGCAAGCATCAATTAGTGCATGAAGCTTAACACCACGAGGTAATGGTCTGACAAGTGCGGCATTGATCTCATCATCAACAATCATGCCCTGTGTTTCAAAGTCAAGCGGACACAGAGTTTCATCATATCCGTCTGCTTCATCACCATTATAGTTCCGTTGTTGTGAACCATGCCCAGAATAGTGGAAAACCAGGGAATCACCTGGTTGACATCCTTGTACAAGCCAAAACATTGCCATCCTCATATTGTGCTTGTTCGGAATTCTGTAGGGGTCAGTTTCTTCTTCTGCATTCAAATTTCAGATGATGATCAATAATAAACTAATTATGGAATGAATTGAACTCCAATAAACAGATAAAACTATGAATAATGAATAATATAAACTAACTTTACAAATTCTCGTTGGGAGAGTTTGGATTTGGATATCCCTATTGCTTGGAGGAAGGGTCCTAGAACATGCACTCAACACCCTAAAGAAACTTGTGATATAATAAATTGTCTTCTATGTCTAGTTCATATGCTTAGAGAGGAGGATATGGATTTAAATAACCCCCTATATACGACCACAGCAACAGATTTGCAGTTTCACCCAAAAAAAAAAATAGTGATCTGAAATTATTCATTCAAGTTCTAAAGCAAACATTGCATTATTCAGGTCCACATTGCCCCCAGTTTGGGAACACGGGAAGAAGATATTGAGAAAGTTCACAACATGTCTATGCTTTTGTATAATCACAGTCAAGAAGAATAAAGATTTGATTTTGGAAGTAGCACAACATCAACGTTCGCGTAAATATTTAACAAACGGGGAAGAACTCGAGTTACTCAGATAGAAACCAATACCATATCTTCCTAGCTTAATGGCACCATTCCGTTTTTCAGGTACACGTTACTTCTATTAATCAAATTAGAGCTTCAAGATTTTCCCCCTTCCCAAAAAGGACATATAGCATGCCGTTTATGGACAAATAAAGATGGATCGAAGGATTGGAAACACAAAGAATTGAATTTCGAGATAACAACGCAAGTCAAACGAAGTTATACTTCAGAACATCTACATAGAGCTTAAGAAATTGAACCAAAAAAAACTAATGATATAATTGCATCTCCTAGATTCAACAGCCCAGCACTCAATCAAGAAGATAGCAGGATAAACATAACATACCTGTAAGCATGAGGATAGAAGATTCGGGAAACTTAAACTTGTTGATAAGCAGGTAACGCATGCATTTCGCGTCATTGATACAGCCTTTGAGTTCGTGGCGAGAGTACCGGTACGATATACCAACGATCACAGCCTTCTTCCGCCCGTGGGCGTTGGGCGGGGGACCAGGCGGGGCGCCAGAATAGGGCGACGGAGCGTTCCAATTGGGTGGCGGAGGGACCGACGAAGGCGGCTGTGGAGGGACGGATCGTGGATCGGCTACGTGAGTGACGGCGTGACAGAGGGCACAGCGGATGGATCGGGCTCCCGGCGGTAGCTGCAGCGGCGTGCGGCAGTTGGAACAGTCGACAAGCATAGGAGGAGGATACATGGCGGAGCAGGTGGGAAGATAGTGGCAAATTAGGAGAAAGAATAGGGGCAGAACTGAAATACTATAAAGTTATTTCGTGACTTGAACTTGAAGGTATCGCAATTTGCATCGTTGACGGTGATCGGAACTTGTTTGCGAAAATGCGCTTTTGAAGATTTGGAAAATGAGAATGGACGGCGACCTCCAGCTCCAGGAAAAGGAGGACCCGGAAGATACCAAAAAGCGCGTGAGATTTGGTAAAACTAAATCTGAGATATAGATTCATTGGTTAATTTCTGGAACCGGGGCCCAATCTGATGGAAGCTTCCAAATCTGTAAAATCTTAAACCAATTGATGACAATAATAATGGGCCCGCTTAGATGAGGATGAAAAAAATAATTGCAAGTTGTAAGCACATTTTATACCTTGTCCAAGTTGAGTTGAAAGGGAACGAGTTGGATTTTGTTTAACTTAAGCTTGAAAATAAATTTTACATGTAAAATTATGAGGAAACAGCATATGGAATTAAGTTTAGAAAGATTGAAAATCAAACTCAAAAATTAGAAGCCAATGTGGTTTAAAGAGAGCAAAGCGTTGATGTTGATTGTGATCATGGGTCTAATGAGTGAATGACATTGTGTGCTAATGTATTTAGAGCCATGAAACATTAAGTAAGAGAAATGGAAAGGTTGATCAAGCAACCTTCATGTTTGGAAGCAAGGGGAGCAAGAGGAAGCAAAGAGAAACCTTAATGACATAGGGTAGTGAACTTACCCTTATTATATGCTTGATATGTATGCTTGAGTGTTAATGTTACTTGATAATGATTTAGAATATGAAAAATTGGATATTGCTTTGTTTCTTGCATATTCTGTGGCCATATGTGAATAAAATATTGAGTATGAAAACATGTCATTTTCATGAAAGCATAAGACTAAGCATGTCATCCACTTAGTATTTATCTTGTGTAAATGTGGGTAATATTTGCTACTGCAATTCTCTCGAATCTTACCCTCACTTAATTAACCATAATAGGTATGATGTGCAAAGGAAGAGAAATGTATAAAGAAGAACAATGAAAGAAGCGAAGAAAGTGATAATTGTGCTTACATATTTAATAAAACCTTTAACGTTAATGTATAGTTAAACATGCCATCAATGTTATGAAATGAATATTGATGATTATTGTTATGTAAAATTGAATAATTTAATGTATTGGAATGGCCAATTGATTGAAAGGCATGATTGCATGCAAGAAAAGAATATTTATGCATTACTAATTCAAAGTAAAAGGGATAAATGACCCTTAATGTGCAGTAAAGTTGTGAGGAAGTAAAAGAAGGCAAACAGCTGAATATGCCTGTAAAATTTGATATGCTTAAAATACACATTCTAAGATTTAGACCAAGTGATAGATCACTTAAAATGGATATGTGTACTAAAAGATGTGATTGTTCAAATTTAGGGAAGAAAGCTGAAAAGTATTGTTTGACTAATATGAATAGTAAACTTTCATGAATTAACTGTATGAATTTAGAATGTCTATGTCTAGATTCATATTTTTTTCTTATGGAGAACTGAAAGAGCTTTAATGGAGACTTAAATCATCTCAATAAAAAAAATTTATAATTAGTTGTGAATTTTCAAAGTTAAATAAAAAATCTGAAATTTATCAGTGAATAGTAACCAGAAAATTAAATTCCAAATTTTCAATCTATGGGCTTACTTCGTAATCTGCTTGAATCATAATGTAACAACTTCACTTTTCATCAAATAACTAATCAATTAGAAATACATGAAATTACATTTGATGGCCAAAAGTATGAAAAATTTGACTTTGAAAAATTTTGTTCTCGGGTTGCTATTCACAGCAACCCATATTTTTGCCAAATTTTGAAAAATCATAATTACTTCTAGAAAACTTAAAATTGAGTGATTCTAAGTTCTATTAGAAGCTCTTTGGATTATCTATTGAGAAAAAATAATTCCTAGACTAATTTTCTTCAAATTCAAGCCCAGTTTTATTTGGTCATTTTTTAATTTTCTAGTATTTTTGCCTAATTTTGGATAGGCATAACTTCTTGTACAAATATCCAATTTAGGCATGTTACCACTCATTTTAAAGAGAAAAATGTGATCTATTTGAATGAAAAATTTTGTAACCTAACTCACTTAAATGGTTAAGATCACATTGGTTAAAATTTGTCCCCAAAAGGTTGAGTTTTATCCCCTCTTGGTTTTGCCTCTTCATGCCTAAACACTAGCTTAGCATACTATCACTCAACCACATAATTGGATATACTAGCAGGCTTTAACATAGATTTGCATCATAATATAACATAGTATCATCCAAAAAGAATATTTGCAACATAGTATCATCCAAAAGAATATTTGCAAAGATCCACATAATCCAAGAAAAGATCAAAGCCATATACATTTCATAACATCAAATGTTTTCTCCAAGAATTGATCACCTCCTTTTTCTTTGCTTTGGATGTTGTAGGCCCTTCAATTTGTTGAACATGGAAGGGGTAAGATTCATAGGAATCTTAATAGCATAGCATCACGTTCATAATGTCACACTCAAGCAAAGTATTACATGCCACATGCACTAGCTATCACATGCTTTCAACTTCATTGAAATGCCATGGAAAGGAAATAATATGCTTCTCATTCATAACACTCAACATTGCATAGTAACATAGCACAATATATAACAATAAATACAAAGCGAGGTAACATTTAAATAGTAAATGCTCCTTCTCTTTCAATGCAAAACCTATTGATAACACAATAGGGTATCACACATTATTATTCCAATCATTATAACAACCCTTGATCCTTTTTACTTGATTCTTGGGTTATTATTTCTAGCTTTGATTCCTTAATTATCCTAGGTCATTCCTATATAATTTTTCATGTAGAATCCAAATATCGACTTAGATTTATGAAAATCTAATTCCTCCTTACTTAAATCACCTTGGCTGAATTGTATACCCTTGAGGTTCAGAATTTCCATTTTCAATTTTACTACTTCTAAGCTTCCTTTTTTGGTGTTTTTCCACACCATTTCCTCATTTAAACACATTGGAAGTATCAAATTAAATTCAATCCAACTCTAACCCCAATTACTCCACTTGGCTGAAACATCACATAAGTTTAAGGGATGAATTTTCTTTCCAAAATTCAATCATAACCAATCAATTCCTACTCTTTCCAAGTCTCTAATCTATGTTTCAATCCCTTGGTTATTTTCTTCCAAATTTTTGAAAATTTTGGCAACATTTTCCCATAGAAAAATGGCTATCTGAAAAAGAAAAAATGCCATAAAAACAACCCCATATCAAAGCACAAGAGAAATAGAAGCTTTTCTTGACAAATCTTTATGCTTGTATGCACTTTCTCTCTCTAGAAGTTACCTCTTCTCTCTCTAAAATCAAGTACAACAAGGTCTCCCCTAGCTTTTCTCTCTTGGCCAAAAATTCAAGTATGGGAGGGGCTATTTATGGGCTTTTCATTGACTCTTTACCTTGGTTTTCACCAAAATTACAAGGGTTAGGAGGCTTAATCTTAACATTTGAAAATTCTTCCAAAAACAATAAAAAATAAATTAAAAATAGGTGGACAAATCTTGTGCTTCAAATTTGTGATTTTGCCACATGTCCATATGATGTCATGGTGATGATGTCATTTGCTTAGTTCACACCAAGATTAATTCACCTAATCTTAGTTAACTTCCTTAATCACCATAATTAACCACTTTCTAGAAAAAAAATTTTATTTTTCATTAAATATTTTTTCTCCAAAATTGGCCAATTTAGGCATGACACATAGGCTATTTGGCCTAGAAAAATTTGTAAAAAAATGCACTTCCCCAGGTATCCTTAGATTACACTAAGTACTGGTATAGTGCCAAATAAATTTTTTCTATATCATGTCTAATCCACTGTCTTAGAAAATTCATCTCAATGCACCGTTAACCTCCTCTTAGTGTAGGGTTGTTTCATGATTTTTCTCAAAATTTAATTCACTCTGAAATTTCCTAAATTCCATTTCCAACAAAATTGACATTTTACTAGTGACAATTCGCTTTAAATATTATTAAAGCTAACCTCCTCATCATTTGAAGTCAGGAACAATTTTATCAATTATGATAATCCTTCAAGAAATTTTGTTATATTTTTTCCAGAATTATTGAGGCCTTTAGGTATTTTAAAAAATTACTTTGTTTACTATTACCTAGTGTAACCAAAAATTTCTGCTATATTTATTTATTTTCCTTTCAATGATTCCTTTGGGGCCTCAAACACTTTTTCTTGATCCTTAATTCTATTTTACATGATTTTTTGAGAATTTTTGGGAATTTCTAATTTGACTTCCCAATCGGTTCTTTCTTCAACTGATATTTCAAAAATATCAGTTCGACCACTATCTGATCTCAATTTAAAACTTGTGAGAATTATGTCTGTTCTACATTAACTGGCCCTTGGTCTATTTTAATTTTCTTATCTTCAGGGTTCAAATTTTTAGGATGTTACATATAATGCTTTCAGACACCTACTAAAGGGGGTAAATGGAAGGATATTTCACAAGGTATCCCATTAGTGTTGGATAACTAGCATGAACCAAATAATATTTGCCTAATAAATGATGAAATCATCAGCTGATGTCAAATTAATGCAATTAAAAAGTGATTTCAAAATAATTGAATTGAAACTCATAGAAACATACCTTGAGTTTGATGGGGAAAATTCATAGACAGAGTTGAAATAGCACTATGAAACACGTGAACATCATGTGCACTACCTTCCCAGCCCACCAACACGAAAGTAAAGCACATATCCCAATCACATGTAGGCATAACATTTTGAGCTGGATATCCCTTTTTCTAGCCTTATAGTTTACATGAGTGCTATCAATTGCTCCTATTGCATCCTTAAAAAAATATGTAGCATTATGGATCATTTTCTATTTTTGGGTGACAGTAAGAAAATGTAAGATCATGTGGCTTGATATTTTCCCAGATAGATTGAGACAAGCATCAAAGAATCTATGAAAATGCCTACTCACTGTTTCTCCTTAATGTTGAAACCTTTCTTAGATCATCCTACTACATTGTCCATGTGCAATTATATTCAAGAACATAGCAACAGATTTATGCACACATATGTGCTTAGAATTCTGTAACCCTTATTCAACCAATTTTAGATCATAACTAGTTGAATATCTCTACT